ATTCATAGCTATTGATGTGAAATGTGATTGTCAAAGGCATAGGAAATTGCCTTTGAATTGTGTTAACCAGTTAATATCTTTATACAAGACCAGGGAGACAGTGTCAAATATGCAAATGAACTCTAGTTCTGCAGTCTCCTTCTGTAATTGAACTCACCAATTCCGTATTCTACAGGCCTCCTTCCTCTGATCCCACTGAGGAATAATCAAAGAAACTACACCATCTGCTCAAGAAACTCCCTGCTACAACCCAGGCCCAAATCTACATGCATACACCTCCAGAGTCCCAACCAGGAATATTCTTATTTACTCCCCAAGATCTATAAACCTGGAAATCCCAGACATCCCCTCATCTCAGGCACTGGCATTCTTACAACAGGATTGACTAGTTATGTTGACTCTCTCCTCAGACCCTATACTACCAGCTCTCCTAGCTATCTTCAAGACACCACAGACTTCCTGAGGAAACTACAGAGCATCAGTAATCTCCAACACATCTGATTAAGTGAGTGTGATGGGGTGTGGTCACAGAGGACCATTTGGGGTGCTTCCCGGAGGGCTGACGAAGCCACTGACACTCACCTCCTTGCTTTCTGGGGCTTCTCACCACCCTGTCCTGCTGGGCCAGCTCGCCTGGTCTTCCCCAGCCAAAGCACAGAGCAGAGATCAACACTCCTGCCCCAAAGAGCACTAGAAACACTGAGGCTATGTCTAGACTGGCATGATTTTCCGCAAATGCTTTTAAAGGAAAAGTTTTCTGTTAAAAACATTTGCAGAAAAGAGCGTCTAGATTGGCACGGACGCTTTTGCGCAAAAGCACTTTTAGTGGAAAAGCGTCCGTGCCAATCTAGACGCGCTTTTGCACAAAAAAGCCCCGATTGTGAAAATGGCGATCGGGGCTTTTTTGTGCAAAAGCGCGTCTAGATTGGCACGGACGCTTTTGCGCAAAAGCACTTTTAGTGGAAAAGCGTCCGTGCCAATCTAGACGCTCTTTTCTGCAAATGTTTTTAACAGAAAACTTTTCCTTTAAAAGCATTTGCGGAAAATCATGCCAGTCTAGACACAGCCTGAGTCTCTTCAGTTTTGGGCCCAGCTTTCAGGGAAACCACTCCCCAAATGGATCAGAACACCAAATAAATAATTTAGGTAAGCCCCCTTTAACAATGAAAGGAGGATGCACACACTGAATGCTCCCCCAGGTAACAATTATTTACACTGGGCTTGATAGTAAATAAAAGTGATTTTATTAAGTACAAGTTGTGAGCTTTAAGTGGTTGCAAGTGAAAACGGGTAGATCAAAAACAAAGAGCGTGTCTACACTACAAGCCTTTATTTCGAAATAATGTTGAGCTGGAGGACTTCTTAGTCCGACTCACAGTAACCCTCGTTTCATGAGGAGTAAGGAAAGTTGGGGGACGAGTGTTCTTCTTTTGACTTCCTGCTGTGTAGACTGTGCCAAAAGCTGAGTTAAGCTATTTCTACTTAAGCATTGCAGTTGACATAGCTAAAGTTATATAGCTTGGTTCAGCTTTAGCCCTGCTGTGTAGATGTACTCTGAGTTACCACAGGATTACTCGTTTTTAAAGTTACAAACTAACACGGCTGACTCTCTGAGACGTCTTAAAGAATCTCTGTTGATTGCCTCTGGTTTTCCTTGGCAGGGACATTCCCAGATAATCAAGACCAGAGCCTGGGTGAAAGCTTCCAACATTAACTGGGCTCGACAAATAACACAATCTACTCGCCTGTGGCGAGTAGATTGTAACCCGGAAGAGCCGGGTTCGGGTGATCTGCGCATGCGCAGAACGATTTGCACATGCGCAGATCGCCGGATAGCGTGGCTGGCGAGCAGGGCTCACTGAGGTTCGGCGAGCCCTGAACATTAAGATGTCTGGCCAGGATGGGGCAGGGAAGCCCACAATGCAGGCAGAGGAAGAGCTGGTTGTGCTTATCTCTTAGCTTTAATTCTTCCCTCATACCCAGAGCAGGTGCTATCTTCCAGACAGATGTTAAATCCAGAACTTAACTTCCCTGATTATGCTGAGAGTCCCAGTGAAAGTTAAAAAAAAAGGGTGCTTTTCAAACCGAAAGCTCTGAATAAACCAGGCCCTAGTATGCGAGGCTCTGCGGGGCACGTCTAGACTACATGGGTCCGTTGATGGAGCCATGTAGATTTGTTTACTTGGCAAAGGGAAATGAAGCAGCGATTTAAATAATCACCGCTTCATTTCAATTAAAATGGCTACAAGGCATACCGGGGAGGTCGACAAATGCCTTTGATGTCAACCACGGAGTGTCCAGACTACAGCGCTGTGCTGCCAAACAGCTCATCAGCACAGCGCGCCAGCCATTTTAATTTAAATGAAGCAGCAATTATTTAAATCGCCGCTTCATTTCCCTTTGCTTACAACCCTAATCTATATGGCTCCGTTGACAGAGCCATGTAGTCTAAACGTACCCTGGGTGAAATGTATCACTGCACAATTATTGAGTTGACAATAGTAATGACAATGTCACAACAGAAATCATGGCCCCATTCTGCTTGGTGCAGCCCAGATGCACACTAGGAAACAGTCCTAGCCCCGAAGAGCTGCAACCACATAGAAAAGACAGACAAAAGGAAGCGAATTGCTCATTTTACAGACAGAGAAACAGGACCACACAGAAGCCTCATGACACGCTTATGGTAACCCGAGAACTGTCAGCTATGTCAGGAATCGAACCTCGGTTGTCTGAGCGCTGCCCCAGGATTGTCACCACAAGCCTCTTGAAAATGGGGCTTAAATGCACCATGTGCAACCTACCTCCCTGCACCCCATGAGTATGGAGAGCCAAGCAGCTCCCTCTCATGTCGATGATGGCACTGGCACACCAATGCTGACCCATGCGGACCACGCAAAGCTCTCAGCCCAGCAAGGCAGAGCAGTGTGGCTGAGTTCAGGGCAGTCATGCTGAACTGATAGGCTGCACAGCTCCTCGCAGGAAGAGGGTTGAGGCTAGAGCCCTTTCTAAAGAGCAAAGGAGGAAATCTAGTGGGTCTTCCACCCCCAGCACATGTGACCCCCAGTGCACCTGCTAGTGTAATAAACATCCTGCTTCCTGCACCTGTTTCTGTTGCTGGAGGTGATGTTAGTTATAATGGAAGATCACCGTGTTGAACACCAACTCTCTGTTCACCACAGCAGCATAGGCAGCTTCTCCTCTTACCCGACCCATGAGCCTCTAGGGGCCCATGTGATCACCCCTGAGGCAGCCAACTTGGCACCCGTTAGCATCCATGGGGGCAGTGCTGGTTTGGAAGATGCTACGTGGTGGGCAGGTGCAATCCAATGACGTTACCAGGGGCATGGGTTTATGCCAGGGCTGGATCTGACCCCTCCGCACTAGGAAAATAGACTGAGACCCGCACCTCATCCCACTAGGTGACAGTGGTTTGTACTGCCTGCCAGCCAGTAAACTGGCGATGAAACGCTTCCTCTTCCACCACCAGTCTCCTGAGCAATTCCGTTCCTGTGGCAAACCAGAGAGCAAAACATCTCCTGCCAACACAAATTAGCCAACAGGCTGCAGGCACCAGACACATGTGAGAAACCGCCAACATTAGAACTTTATAGCAGGAGCCTGATCCTTTGTTGTCCTGGTTCAATCATTTCTAGGGAATAGAAGTGTGTATAGTAGATTTCTTGTTTTGTTCAACCAGACAAGAAATCTACTATACACACTTCTATTCCCTACAACAAAGAAAAGACAATAAATTTTCTAACCTGCTCCATACCACTGGCTACAATCATTTCTAGCTGTGCAAAGTGGGGGTAAAATACTCCTGCTTTGGGCCATTAGCATTCCCACTGGCTTTTCAATGCCTGTGCACAGGTGGAAGGGATGATACAAAGTGCAAGGCGATGGGGCATCCGGACTGATGGCTGGGGAGGGGCCACACATGGACAGAGATTAGCTTGACATGGTTCAAATTGAAAATTGCCACTCCTCATCCAGGAAACCCTGACAATTACTTCTCCTCACCTCTGCAGCACTGCTCTGCTGAGGGACGCATATTGGCCCAAGATTTTCAAAGTATTCAGGCACTATTCCGCCCCGTGTTGCAAAGCTTAAGTGGCTTAGATGAGTGAGTCTCATTTTCAAAAGCAACAGCGTGAGATTTTCACTAAGTGCCCAAGTGAGTTAGGCACCAAACTCCCATTGAAAGTTAATTGGAGTTGGTGTCCGAGTCTCTTGAATCCATTGGAAGCATCCACCCATAGACGCCTAAGTTTCGCCAGAAGCAAATGGGATTTAGGCTCCTGAGTGCCTAAGTCACTTCTGAAAATGGGGCTTAGCCTGCTTTCCCCTGCATGACTTGGCCTAGAGGCATATGCAAGAGTGTTTTATTTTCTGTATGCCCCCGTATGATTGCCTAGGGCTGGGTAATGATCTGGCCTTTATCTTGGAACAGGAACTGCCATGCTATGAACAAGCCTTCCTCTTTTGGGGTGTGTCTAGACTACATGGCTCCGTCGATGGAGCCATGTAAACTAGATAACCCGGCATAGCCAGTGAAGCGGGAATTTAAATAATCCCCGTTTCATTAAAATAAACATGGCCACCGCGCTGTGCCGAAGATCAGCTGACCCGGCACA